TGCTCATTGTAATTTTTATGACCGAATTACTATTTGGATTGCTATCATAGGGATAATATTTCTTATTTCTCCATTCTATAGTGACTTTAATGTTGGAGGAATAATATGCTCTTTAATGAGAAAAAATGAAGTATCTATCATGTTTTTGAATTTAATTAGTCAATCTAAAAAGAATCATTTTTTGTTAATTTCTAATAAGTTAGCCTTTAAACTCACCTCTTTCTTAGAGATGTCATGAGATCTACCACCTTTTGAGTATTATAAAATTCATGTAGATAGTAATTGTAGGATAGATCGTAGGTTGTAGTCATACTATACAAGATTATAGTAGTAAAAAGCAAATGAAGTTTACTTCTTTTGATGGTAATGAGTTTACTCTCTATACTGAATTGAAAACAATACTTTGGGTCTTCACTTAGTAATATTGAAAAGTTATTAAAGATGATTTTTGAATCTGATTACTTAAAAGTGGTGAATATTGTTCTTAAGAAACCAAAGTTAGTTTTTCTTGAGGTGTATTCTATTCTATAAGATATTCATTATCTCATGCAAAACTTTTTTTATGTACTTATATGTCATATTGTTTATGAGATTAGTTCAGTAGTTGACAAACTAATTTATTTAATACTTCTATCTAAAGATTCATGTTACTTATTTTAAACTTTTTTTAAAAAAATTAACCAATAGATAAATATACCTATCAATTGTAATAAAAAAAAGTATTTTAGGCCCTCCAAATATTGTTTTCACAAAGACTATAATGACAACTACCTATTGATAATATTCCTTGAATATTAAATAATGCAATTAATGAGGATATTTTAATTGAAAAATAATTAAAAAAGAAAAAAAGTGGAGAAATCACAAAATTGATTTATATAGATAAAAGCTTAAGATTTTGATTTTTTTCTTGTGATTAATTATATGTTCTCTAATTCAATTTTATTCAATTGTGTTAAAATAATTATCAATCATTTAATCAATTATTAACGCTACTTAATAATCACGCTATAAATGATAGTCTTCTTATCTACACGTTACTATAGTGATCATAGAAAGCAATAAAATAAATAAGAGTATTAAGAAATATTAGATTTGCTAAACTTAATTAATTAGTTGAAAGTCTAAATGATAAATTGATCCTCTTAACTCTTAAACTAAAATTATTTTTTAGTGTCTTTAACTTATTAACTATACGATCGCTTATTAATTAATTAACTAGAATTTACCTTTGAATGGTCAATTCAAGAATAACAATAACATAAAAAAAAATAATTATAATTCATAAATAACATTAACATCATAAAATTAATCTAGAGTTCAAAAGGAGTTACATCACAAAATTCCACCTTAACCACTTGGTAGAAGTATTTAATTACATATAGTCATAAATATGAAAACAAATATAACTAAACACAACATTGGTGATAGCGAATAAAAGAGAAAGAAAAACCATATGGATGATTTGCTCTAATGAAAATGCGATTCTATAATAGATAAAGAGAGAAAGAGATGAAAAGAGGAAATGTCGAGTGTCAAGTGTATAAGATCTCTTATATAGAGTGTAACATACAAAAAAATAATAATTTAACTATATGATTTGTCTTCCAAAAATATATTTTATCTATAAAAAATAATATGACATATCTATAGAAAAATATATGATTTTATGTAGTCAAATTCAAATTTTATATTCAAATTTAAAATTTTGTTTCAAAATCTGTTTATTATTTACTTATTTCAATAATTTTTCTTTATAATTAGACTTTTTTAACAAAGTTATATTATTATCACCATCTACAATAAAATCAAAAGAAACTTAACCAATTTAAAAGATAAAACAATAATTCTAATAAAAATGTAGGTTAAAATCTTATAGATAAAGTGGAAGAATAATAATTTATTAATTTCTTTCATCCTACACATCATCTTCTAAATGTAAATTTTTAAACTACATAATTTGTATACTTTATAATTTGTCTTTTTTATTTCTTTCTTTTTGTTATATATATATAAAAGTTAATTGATCATATCTCTCATAATAATTAAGCTCTTGCTTGAGTAAATTCCTTTAATAAAATACTAATAAGTATAAAGTAATGGTAAGTCTACAAGACCTCGAACTCCAAAAAAAATAAAATTGTTAGACATTCTCTGTTGAAAGAAAATAAATGAGATATCATTTAATTTTAAATTTTTAAAAATTTTATGAACTTATTTATGACATAAGGGTTATTGTTCTAAGATAACAAAAATTAATATTTGTAAAAATTTATTTTTAAAAATAAAATAATAAAAAGTATTGTTTATAAAACTTTATCTTTAAGAATAAGATAATAAAGATGTATTCATACTCATGCTCTATTCTTTGGTGAACAAGATAGTTCATATTATTGTTGATGATCAAAATGTATTTTGATCTCATATCTTTAGGTAAATCAAGTTGTGACCTTTTAGCTAAGTATAATTGTAATTTGCAGGATAGAATTGTTATTTTTTCGGATCCTCCATCATAAATCTGTATTGGTTTGCTTGTTAATTTGTCAGCTGTTTCATTTTTTAGAGGTTTTTAGTTTAGACTTTTAACCCCGTTCATGTCAAAAAAAACAAGATAATAAAAATTATTGTGTGTAAAACTTTATCTCCATCTTATGTCACTGGGAAATGAAAATTCAACATTTAATCAATGGCTGCAGGGAGGGAAATGATAAGGTAAAATTACACACACCAAACCATTATATCATCGATTTCAATGTTATTTGGATGTAAAAGTAAGGTATACAAGCAAAGAAAAGACAATGAGAAGAGGTTTATAAAAACGAAAAAAAAAAAAAAGTTGCACGTTTAGTTATTCAATTTCATTTTAACTATATATTATGAATTTATCTCTTTTATACCATGGTTATATAATATCCGAATTCTAAATTTGTTTTCTAGATAAAAATATGAAAAGGCAGAGATAAATAAAGTGGCTCTAGTCCTGCATAAAATATTTGACATCAACTCTTCAATGAAATTTTCATATGGCCTTATATCGCAAGAGGTAGGGTTATTTTTTCTAATTTTTTTTAAAAATTTATAAATTTTTAAAATACACTTTATTATAATAAAAAATATTTTCAAATACTATTCTTAAATTTTTTTATATTTTTATAAAATAATTTTTAGAATTATTATTTTTTAAAAAAATAAATTTGTTAAAAATTAGAATTCTACACTTTCAAAAATAAGTTTTAAAAATTAAGATTTCACGATTTCTAGGAAGTGTAGAATCCTAATTCTGAGAATTTATGGAAATGATTAATAATTGTAGAAATTAATTTTTGAAACTAATACTTCTTTCTTAAAAAATATATTTGTAGATATTTCTAACTCTCAGAATAGGCTATTTTAGCTGCCAAGAATATATCTTTTTAAGTGACACTTCCAAGTATTAATTTTTAGAAGTCTAAAATTTTAATTCTATAAACTTATTTTTGGGAATAGATATATTAATTATAAAAAAAAATTAAATAATTAAAAATTTAGAAGTTTTTTTATTATTGTCATAAAGGATATTTTAAAGAAAAAATTACAATCAATTTAATAGAAGTTTGAAAATAAAAAAAGAGGAGTGCAAAAAGTATTCCTTTTGTAAAGGGAGTTGCTTTTAGTACTTTATTTTTTCCACAATCATTTCAAAAATTTTGTAACTTTTTTTAAAAAAGATCTTTTATATTGGTAAAAACAAAATAACTTTGCAAATATATTTTTATGCTCTCAAAAATTAATTTTAGAAGTATAAAATTTTAAATTTAAAAACATATTTTTAGAAATGTAGAATTATAATTTTGGAAAATGTTTTAAAATGATTAATGATTCTCGAAATTAATCTCTAAAAATGTAAAAACTAGAATATGTTTGTTTCCCTTTTTAAAAGCATTTTTTTAAAAAATAAAAGATAAATATAAATATTAATTTTTAAAAGTGTAGAGTCCAAATCTCAAACTTATTTTTTTAGAAATGATTAATAATTCTAGAAATTAATTTTTGGAAGTGTAGAAACTTAATTTTGCAAATTAATTTTAGGAAGTGTAAAACCCTAATTTCTAATACTATTTTTAGTAATTGTCAATAATTATAAAAATTAATTTTTGAAAATGTAAAAACTTGATTGTGGAAATCAGTTTTGAAAGTATATAATCTTAATTCTTGAAACTTATTCTAAAAATGGTTAGTAATTTCAAAAATTAATTTCTAGTAGTGTAAAAACTTAATCCTCAGTAATTTTTTGAAAGTAGAATCTTAATTATAAAAATTTATTTTTGAAACAATACAATTGAAGTAGACAAAAATGCTATTTTTTTCACAAAAAATTAAACTATTTTATAGTATGTTCAAAATAATAACAGTAATTAGAGAGTAATAATGGGTAAAATACGCGCAAATAACAAACAATAAAGATGGTAAGCTTGGAACATCAGAGAGTGAACTTCCAAAAATAAATTAATTATTCTAAAATTTGAAACAAGAATAAAAATAATAATTAAAACTACTGTTAAAGATTTTAAAATATAATTGTAAAGAAATGCAAAATACCATTCCCGTCGTAAAAGCTGGACACCCAAAAGCAAGAGTTTAACAAATACTTAATACTTTTCATCTGTAGCAAGTGTAAAAAGGCTTTATATCTCAAGCTATAAACGTGATTTAGCTAATTGGATCACAAATAATTAAAATGATGAATTCATTATACTTCCCCTCAACAAACAGTGAATTTCTTTAGCTATCCCCTTCTCCATCATCGGATTTATGGACTGCGTTTAGCTCTCCTTCGACCAGAAAAAATAACAGTTAAAATCGAACGTTTTTTCTCAGAAGTACCCTTGCACACGTACAAAAAATTTCGATACTGTAGCTTTCTCTCTCACCTGTATGACAAATGTGTTGTAAACTTCGATAGAGGTAACACATCTCAATTTATTAATTAGAAAATGCAAATAAATATGAAATAAATCGACAGCCTTTGGGCCAAGTCAGTAGCGCTATATCAGAATCAAGGGAGAGAATCTTACATAAGCTAATAACCCAAATAATTACATACTATCAAAACTTACGAAAAAAAAAAGGATTGACAATCTAGACAACCTAATCTAGGAACTGTTGCTAAGCTGAAATCTTTGCTCACATATATGCTCTCATCTAGATGAAGTATCAGCCTCAACTTGATATTCTTGGTGGACCACAGCTCTCTGGGGAGCTGCGTACGTGCAATGCGTGGTCCATTAGGTTAAGAAAGTTATAACTTCACCACCCGCAGGCGACTGAAATCATTTAAATTCATAAAACACCTTTCAGATAAAATCGTTTCAAGTTATTTATGTTATTCCTTGTTTTTTGTTGATGATGAAGTAACACAAGGGCAATCCACAAACCTGCCCAAGCAGAAATAAAGAGCCACATTTTCGTAGGTTCCATAGTCTACTCTCCCTTCGATTCAATAAAACAAGTCACCGCCATGCAAGAAGGTTCAAGATAAACCCTCACCAGACTAAATTGCATTCATTTTCATTATCTGCAACACAGCAACCGTATTAGCATGTCATTACCATAGGATCGCTATCCGGTGAACTTGCGCATGAAGACCTAAGATTATGTCCCTCACACGCAGGGTACAAGTTGTTTAGATAGATGTATCAAACATGCTTTGGAACATACATAAACGTTACCTGAACTAAAATTAAGATGCACCTGAAGGATCAAAATTGCCTTCAGGAAATTCACCAAATATATTTGGGCATCCATCCCATCTTCCCAAAGCTCTCGCTTCCCAATACCCGCCAATATATCGAAATGTTCCGTTTCCATCTTCTCTGTGGAACCACCTAGGCTGCCATCCATTTTCTTGTATTTTCCTTGACTGTATGACATTATCAAAATGTAAGTCAACGAAATTAAAAGACTCGGGTCGTGACCATCAGTTATCGTTAAAATAGTAGAACTTATTTTTACTTAAGTAGTAAAATCTACAAAAATTAATAAAATTTGTTAAATATACGTGTACAAAAGCTATCATTACAAGTACAGATGAATCAGAATATACAAGAAAGTAAAAATTAGTTTGACACTAACCGTAACCGTAGGTTAAAAGAGCTCCACACAAATGTCACAAATTCACAATTTGCTTATATAGAGACATGAAAAAGGGTATGTATAAATGTAGCTGAGAATTAAACTGTGAATTTCAAATTTCAAATAAAAGCAGTAGTAAAATTACTAATTGGAACCTTAGGAATGCTTAGAAAAGAAAAATGATACACATACATACCACAGACAAACACAACCACGTATTCCTAAAGAGAGCGTACACAATCATAAAACAAGTGCCTTCAAACAAAGTAATACAAATAAATATTAAGTTAATTAGCTTATAACAGTTGAGAAATTCACTAGTACCTGGTCAAACAAATCCAAATACAATGGGAGGTAAAAGAAAAGATAGAATGCACGTTTCTCGAAGAAACTATGAAAGTTTCAAACATACCATTCTTTGCCTCTTCTCCAACCTTTGTTTCTCCATATTAGCCTTCTCGTATTCCCCATTCTCTAGGTGCCGCTGATCTGGTCTCAGCCTGGAATCCGTGGGTGGAAGCTTCTCCTTTAATCCGTGATCAAATACCCGGGATCAGAAAAGGCTATAACAAAGAATTAGAGATGCATAAGAAGAGAAAGGAAATCGCGCATCGAATATTTTGATTTAATACATCATTATACCTGTAGTCCCGAAGTAAGCTCGTTCAGCGTGATAGCAAATGATGTCAAATTGTATCGGGTGAGATTAAGTGGTGGCTTAGTCCTTTTCCACAACAAGGTTGCATCTGACGAAGTGAAATCTTTAGGCTTCACATTCACCTCACCACTAACATAATACATGCTGTCATCCCACTTGCCAAATAATGAGGCAACTTTTTTTCCCTTTACATCTTCAACAAAGCCATGCACCTAATTAGACATACCCCACATCTTAATGAACAAATAGTTAGGTAAAAAAGGACATATAAATAAGGTTCCTACAGATATTTGGAGTGGGGCTACATGCGGGCAACAGACTCAAATAAAATTAAAAACGCAGGTTAACCAACCTAAACTAAAGGATTGGGTTAGTAAATGAACTAGAAATCTATAAAACACGGATTATGACATGGACACTACGACACTAAACACGTGTATATTTAATTTCCTATAATATTGAGACATTACCTTTTATCGGAAATGTTCGGTCACTTCACAATTTTAGTTCCTTCAGTTTAATATACGCATGATTTTGTTCCTTTTAATATTTTCTTTTATCTAAAATACTCATTCTATTATTACAAAAAATTATCATCGAATCAATTAAATTATTTTAAACATTTTCCTCAAAATATGTCAATCCAAACACTAAATTTCAACCCAAAAAATACTAAATTTTAAACCTTAATCTAACATCTTAAAACTTCTTCAAATCTTATCAAAATTTCATAAACTAAATTTTTTCATAATTTCAGAGAATAAAATAATTGATATATATTGTTTGAGGAATCTAACATCTTCAAACTTCTTCAAATCTTATCAAAATTTCATAAACTAATTTTTTTCATAATTTCAGAGAATAAAATAATTGATATATATTGTTTGAGGAGTTTTTTTTTCACAATTTAAGAATTGAAATCGACAAGTATTTATAATTTCAGAGACTAAAATTACATTTTACTCCTAAATACTAATAGAACACCCATACCTGGTGAGGATTTCGGTCAAGAATCGTTTGTTCTTTGAACTTGAGTGTGCAAGAATATTGGCGATTACCACGGATGTCCATGCTCCCATGATGATCACAATATATTTTGCCAAGGATAAGATTATAAATTGTAGTCGTGACCTGCAGGAGAAACAAAAACGATTGTAACAATAATGTAAAATTATATATAATATATCACAATATGAAACTAGAAAGCCAAATCACTAGCACTAGGCACTAGTAGGCAGTATACATATTCCATGTTAACAGAGTCATACTACGATTTACACCTTACTCCACTGAAATATTTCACCATCATCAAACTCTAGGGTCAAAACTCCCACTGGATCAAGCTGAATTGACCTTCCCCAAAACTTTGAACGAATGTTGCTGTCAGCCCAAAACTTCCACCCTCTACCTTCACAGTGGCACGCAACCACAGTTGGATGGTGACTCACCTGTTTCATATACAATCAGTTGTGAGAGAAAGCATCAAATATTGGCAGGTTAATTGACTTACTTGCACATTGTGCGCAAAGTTGAGCGTAAGGTAAGACTACCATCGTTGGGACCAAAATAATTTAAGCAATTTTAGCTCAATACCAGAATGACATAACAAAGTCATTGTTCAGTTATCACAGTTAGAACATCCTCTTTACTTTCGTCCCATTTTCAATATCAGTTAACAAGTTACTTAACATTCTGCCTTTTTTTTTTCCAAGTTAGCAACTGAAAAATGTCTTGTATGAAAGTAAATTTATCATTTATGAGGTAAAGGATGAGTTATAGATACTCAAACCAAAAATTACAAAAGAAGCCATTCAGAGTACCACTTCTTAGCGCAAGTCAAATACGCTGCCGCATAAAAGCCTATAACTCATTATGAAAAATCACAAGTAACAAACCTTCTCAGAAAAGAAGCGAATTCCTTTGTCAGGATAATCAGCTTCGTAAGTTTCCCCTAGCAAAGGATTAAAGGGTTTACAATGACGACCTTCGGACGATGCATATCCAGAAACGGCAAAGGCAGCAACATTCAGCGCCCGAAGGAGACTGTTTCCCTGAAAATAAAATTCAACGAGTTAAATAAGCCACATTCAGTGGCATTAAATAATGTCACCTTTCATGTAAACTGAGGGATAGCTAAATAAAAATTTATTAAATGTTGACAAATGATTTTACCAGTCTTCCCCTTACGAAATTTCTTGAATTCATTTGAGAAGAGACCAGTAAATATAGAGAGAGAAAATGCATCGGTTGACAACGAGGCAATGGTCAAATCTAGTTTGAAATATGTTTTGTTTATGCTACAACCTAAGAGAATAGCACAATAAAGAGCTAGACGAATATCTTACTGATTTTCCATACTCATAAGCTCTATCCAGAAGATAAGAGTACTCCAAGTCCTCAAAACACTTCTGAAGAGATGATATTGGTTCATTAAAGTATACAGGAAGACAAACTCGTGTAAGATCTTTGCCCACATTGTCTTTGATAATTGACCAAAGGCTAACGCCCTTCTCTTTCTCAACAGGATTTGGAAGCTTTTTTCGCCTTGCTATCTGAGGGTACCCATAATCATTGATCGTCTTCTCAACAAGGCTATTCTCCAAATCAATGCATTGTGTGTTAGCTTCCCCAGACATGTTCAGAGTATCCAAAGGTCTTGCTGAGCCACACCAAAAACCCGGTTCTGTAAAATACTCTTTAGTGTCATAAAACGAGATTTCATCTTCATCTGACACTTCCTCCATCTCCTGTTTCTCGATATCATCAGATGATTCAGTTGTACTGCATTCTGAAAATCAAAAAGTATATGCGATAAGATAATACTACATACTGAAAGGATGGGATCATAAATATCAATTATCAAAAGTTGTAGACAGGTTCATTGCAAACAAATTTACCCAAGGATACACTTCTGCATTCTTGTGAAACATAGCATGCTTTTGAAGGTTTTTTTCATGTTTAAATGAATCAAAATTTGAAACCACTGTGTTCACAGGTTCATACATTAATCGCCTTACAAATAAACGAGAGTTTCACAGAAGAGATGAACAAGTATAGGGGTGTGAACTAGATCAATATTAATTTAATTTCTCTATCATAATCATGGGTTAAGGGCATTGAATACACCATTTTAAATGCTTTCAATTACTTACAAAAGCAAACACTATACGGTCTTTGTATTCCCAATATCATAGAGTTTTTTTTCTAATAAAAACTTTCTATTTTAATTCCCTTAACCTATTCACTTGGTGCATAAGATAAAAAATTCAAAACTAACATAACCAAAACAGACAACAATGACAAATTAAGTAATCATTGCCCATGAAGTAAAACTTTAAACATAAAAATTTCATGCCGATTCAAATTTAAAAGATTGATAAAATGTTAAAGAATCAATTCTGTAGAGGTTTAGAGACAATAAAAAGAAGAAATAAATACTAGCAAATTACTCGAGGCAGATTTCAAACTGTACAGCTTACAAAAATAGAAAAATACAGATTCATGTCAATGATGATTAGCAGAATACTTTCCATAATTCAAAGAATTTGTAAGCAATACGATGTCAGCAATATTCTTCATGTTCATATGAGACAGAACTATAGGCCCCTAAGATCACTATTGAGACACAACAAAGATTCTGAAATCTGAATATTAGCACATGGTTGTTAGTTGTTACATCAAATAAGAAAAATACAACGAGAATAATGTGTGACATCTAAGTAATACCACTATATTTTCCACGTCCTAGACTTGAAAACTCATTCTTTGTTAATTGGTATTCGCCAACATGCAAGGCAGAGGCCTCAGGTTCAATATTAGCAGCCTGTTCATGATCAATAATAAAAAGCTAGTTTAGCAAGTCACATACAAAGTAACAAAAGCTTGCACATCTAGAAACTAAATACATGCGAACGAGTAGAAAAGATAGTTGAATCCATATATAAAGCAAGCAAGGAAGAGGAATCATTATGAGGGGGATGGCAAATGGTGTCTATTAAGTGTACCATGATTTATGATATTTTTCAAGTTGGGAGGGGGGGAGAGGAGGGAGAGGATCAGTAAACAATTGATACCATCCAACAAAGTCACCAGTGACCACCAATTGAAAAACCAACAGATCAGCCAAAATACATGACCAAATAAACCAAACATATCAAGTGATGTAACATATGTAATTAGACCTTGTTCTAGTTTGAACCAAAACAACAATACCACTCCAGTTAGAATTGCACCAAAACATTAATAGCTTATCTCATCATATGAAGCTGGAGCCACACATATCTTAAGCAAGTATATGACAACGGGTTTTACAAACTCAGAAGTACAACAATAATTAATTTAATAATGCATTAATACTTTACATTCAAAACAATAATCAGCAGTACAGAAAGAAAAAAAAAATACATCAGTAATTTTACAGAATATAAATCAAATGAAAAGCTGAAACTCAATCTAAAAACTGGAAGGTAGAGTTATGGGTATTTGACAAGACCAAACCAAATATAAGCAAACAGCATTTTATATATTAATAGAATCATGACAAATTCATTCCATATAAGATAATCGGTAGGAAAACAAATCAAGTTATTAGTCAAATTAGTTTTAAAACTAATTTGAAGAAAGGTTAAAGTATAAGTATATAGCAACTTTTAAAACAGTTAAAGCTAAAGCACTAGAAGAAAAATGTCTTACTTATTTTGAAGAAAAAGGAATGTGGAATGACACAAAGCCTGTGTCTGACAAGAATCTTTTAGGATATTACGCAAGTAATTTCGGTGAATGTTTTTGTCAAGTAAGCTCAGTACTAATCGACCCAACTACCCAAGTCCTCACCACCATATAAATTTTTTTTTAAAAAAAAGTACTTTAGCAAACAAATAACTTAGACTCGTTTAATTGTATTATAATTCATAACTTAAAGAATCTCCATGTGCTATTTCTACCAAACTTGAGATGGATAGTGTGAGGAGTAAACTAATACACAGCAGTTTTTTTCATAAGCTTTCAAAATAAAGCAAACACAAGAAATTGTCGGAAGGATTCTACAGGTAAAGCATACACACGGGTAATTAAATTACCTCCAGCTGCCTTATTGTATCAAGTAAATTGGATCGCTCATGACATAGGATCTGAAATTGCTCTTGTAATTCGGAGAACTCAGCGAGCATGATTTGCTCGCACTCCTTGACAAGGCTCTCACTGCTACCCTCTTCAACCAAGCGTTTCTTAAGCCTCTCGGTTGATACAGATATATGATTTGGTGCGAGGGAGAGATGATCACTAAGTGGTCGAAGAGGATTCAAGCCACGGGTTGACACCAAAGCTTGAATCCACGCCACACGGTCTTTCCTCGAATCAGTTCTCAGATGGAGAGTCTTCGTTGCTGTGAATATATAGAACCGCCTGTCGTCTGATTTGCTCTCTCTAAATGACGAGATCTGCTTAACATCATTCAGATAACATAACCTTAAAATTCAAATCTACAAAGAAGCACCATCATTATAACCAACTTAGTTTTCTATTTAAAAATTAATAGATAGGATTAATAACAGAAACCGTAAAACACTAATGACGTAAGACAAATTGAGATTTTTAACTTCTTTATTCATAAGACGATGTTTAGAGTAGAGTTGATCACTGCAGCTATTATCAACTGCCAGAAGAGTGAGAAGATTATTATTATACATGTCCCCGTGAGAAACACAAGTGGGGAAGAGAGCCCACCTTGAGAAAACATATATTAAGTTTATACAGAAAAGCTTGAAAATGAAATTACCTCACCCAGCTATCATGGAATGATGCTACTATCACTAGGCTAGAATGATTCCAGATAGAAGGTAATTATGTAAAAAAACAAAACTTACTGTCTCCAACATCCTTTTGTTTTGCCCTTTTATCCAGGGAGAAGAAGAGTGGCTCTTGAATGTTGACTTTAAACAGTAGGAGCACACATCTTAAAGGGAAAAAAAAAAGTTAAATATATAATATATCGGACTGGACGATACCCCACCACCTTGGTGGCAAGTCCCACGTATATATATATTTCTGTTGACAAAGACAAAAGAGGGGCCTTTCCATATGTTTTCACTTTTACATTTTCTAATCTCACTATATATATATATATATATATATATATATATATATATATATAAAGCTAGTAATAACTGAAAATGGTTTCCCCCCCTCTTAAAAGTAACGTCGAGGCATTTCAATTTACAAAGAAGCTTTCATACACACCACACTCACCTGGTAGAATCACACAGAATCCGAGATCCCTAATTACACCTATCTTTAGATCACCGCACCGTCAATATTTGTTTTTTCTGTGCTCTAGAATGTAACGCCTTCAAGTTGAGAAGGGAAAACAAAAGAAACAACAAAATATGGAGAAACAATCCTAGAAAAGGGGTTGCGTATTAGTAGTGATTTTTAGCTTTGGTTAAGAGAAAAGGTTGGGATTTGCAGAAGAATGGAAAAGTGGGATAAGGAGTGGAGGGAGAATAGTGTGAGGAAGAAGCAATTCCAATTCCGACCAATGCGGATGAAGAGAAGGCACAGAGAGAGGTGACGTGACCGCAAGTAAATGCATAGGGTTAACGCGTAGGCTATCCCTACCCTCCACGGCCACCTGTTGATGTGACCCACTATACATTAACAACCAGTTAAAACTGTAATAAAACAGAAATTAAAAAGTTGGGAATTTTGAAATGGAAATCACGAAGCCCTTATGAGAGAGAGAAAAGAAACACAAGGGGAATGGTAGAAACCCGCGGTTTACTACATTACTACTCGGGCATCAAAGCCACTTTCCTTCAGATTTTCTTCCACCCCCTTTTTACACTGCCAGAAGAACAATCCAAGTCTGAATCGCGTTGATAATTTTCAGGGCCGGAAATCAATGAAATCCTTCCATCGCCTTCGTGATTATACAGTAGTAAAAAAATAATTTAAAAACAAAAAGTGCATAGTGCATAGTGAATATTTTTTTTATTAAAAATTTAAAAAAAAAATATTGCCTCTACAGGAAAGTTGCAGTGAGGTAGCGCCAAAACCGTGAACACGACACTGCCAAAGCGAGAGCAAGACCTGACCCACACTATAACGGGTGATTCAGATCGACACCACCACCACCACCACCAAAGATAAACCTTCGTAAATTTCCATAATCATAACCGAAACGAATCATTTAACCAATAAATAAATTAATAATACAAGTTGAAGAATCATATGCGTGGTAAGTTTTTTTCCTGTTTTTTGTTTTTTTCTTTTGTTTGTTACCTTGAGATGGACGACGGCGGATGATGAGGAAGACGAAGGAGGTTTGTGATTCTTCCGGCGCATGGTGGTGGCGGCGTCTCTGGCGAGGCGAGTGGCGGTGACTTCTCCGATGAGGCGAACTTCGTCAACGGGAGAGAGAAGATTGAGGTTTTCCGGCCACCGGATCTTGGCATAAGAGAGGACGCCATTGCGGAGGAGGAACCACCGGGATCTCCATCCCTTGCCGTAATTGGTCCACTTGTAGAGCACGCCAGCGACCGAAGCCTCTGATCCCCGGCGCGCAATGCCGTCAGATCCACCCGCCGGAAGACTCCTGGTTCTGGACAGCGCCGCGGCATCTGGCTCCGGCGAGTCGCTCCCGATCCCGGGACTTTCGAGAGAGATACAGCACAACGGGTGCATTTCCTTGACTCGCATTTTCACTAGCCAAAACCTCTCTTTTTCTTTTTCTCAGTTCTTATTTTACTTCTTCATTGGAACAGAAGCTGCATTTGAAAATGGAACTAAGTGAATGGCTTTAGGGTTCTTCAAAAGAAGAAGAAGAAGAAGAAGAAAAGCGTAGGCTGGAGTGATGAGAAGCTCTGAAACTTAGAAAGAAACAGATCGAAGCAGGAGGATTAATTAATAACAATGGGAGTGGAATGAGGAAGATGCATTGATTAAATATACGAAAATTACTACTTTATTGAAAGTAAATAAATATAAATAAAAGGGTTTGGTTTTAGAAAAAAGAGGTGAATGAGTGAGTGAGTGAGGTTTTGGTTGTTGTTTGTAAGTGAAAGAATAAAACTTTGTTGGGGAGATGTGGTCATGTGGATAATATATAGAGAGAGATACAGAGGCAGGTGGTAATAAAGGTGTGGGCAGAATTGTAATTAAGTTAAATCAAGTGGTTTCTTTTTCAATTTCAAGAGTGAAGTGAAGAACCAGCTTTCAGTGAGTTGCAGTTTGAGGTTTGAGGTTTGAGGTTTGAGGTTTGAGGTTCTTCTTCTTGACCTCCTCATCAGATTCTTCTTTCTTTCATTTTTTTCTTTTTGATTTTCGTAATTTTGGTGGAGGGTGGGAGATATCGCGAGTGATTGGGGGGTGAAATTATCGGTAAAATATCGGGGGAGTGTGAAAGAGAATGGAGACAGGGTGGCAGTTGACGAGGATGAGTGAGAGACTGGGGCGCGTTATAAATGCTATTTACTGCGTAATCATGAATAGTTCATCTTCCAATGTTCTCCTTTCCCCCTGCGTGCTTTCTTCTTCTTTTCCTACAAAATTCTCATTTCACTGCTATTTATACCTCCAAACAATGATTATCCTATGCCCATTGCGTTCATATCTGTCTCCATTTGTTAGACTCCTCATCCAAGACCAAAATTTTGCGCTTTAAACCAATTCAAATCAATTTTAATCCACATTTTACTAAACATTGCTTATTACCTTTTCATCGGTTAGATTCTTCTTTTTTCCTTTTTACTGAATAATAATAGAAATTGCATTCTATCTTCTTTCACTTTAGTTTTATAAGATTTTCAAAAACTCAAAGTAGAAATTTAAAAATTTGTTTGATTTAGTTTTGATTTTTACTTTTTAAAAATTATATTTTAAAATAATTTTATAAAACTGTTTTTAGTTAGACTTTTGTTAATTTTAGAAAGAAAAATAAAAATAAGAACAAAAACACTTAAATAGCAATTCTGCTTTTCAATTTTAAAATTTGAAAATGAAAATTAATTTTTTTTAAAAATTTTAAAACTTATATTAACAAGTAAATTTTTTTTTTTTTTAAGAACTAAAAACTCTATTAAAAAAAAAAAAGAAAACTCAAATATAAGATTTTGAAATTTTATTTCTCTTGTGCTATTATATGAAAAATATAACTCAATTTATTTTACATAAGTTATATTGAATGGCGTCTGATAATTAGTACATCATAAAAAAAAAAATAAAATAATTCTAGTCAAACACTCTCAATTCAATACATATAATGACAAAAAGTGTTAAGAAACTTACCTAATATTTTTTATTTTATTTAAATCATAAGTATATTTTATAGAAAATAATCCTAGTTAAAACGGCTATACTCCTAACTAATATCTTTTGTTATAGTAAATTTTTTCTTATTTTTTAATATTTTTTATTCCTTCTATTTTGTTTATTGATTATTTTTTCTTCCATTTTATACTGTAACAGTTCTTTCAATAATATTTCTCTGATGTTCAAAAAGTAAGCGAAGATAAAAGTATACCTAATAAGATAACAATTAATGTTATCATAAGTTAAAAAAAATACACAAATTTGAGTGTAATGTTTTCAATTGCTTAAAAAATTAGATATTAAATTTCTTTATTAGAGGCCTTGATCTTCAATTACTTAAAAAATAAATATTAAATTTCTTTAGGTAATGTTTTTTTATAATTATTTTATTTCTTTAGTTTAATAATTATTTATTTTATTTTATATATATTTAAAATGGTTGTTTAATTTAAGTAGGTAAACTTTCACTTTAATAATTGAGTAATTTTAGTTGATTTAATAAATGAATTTAATTTAAACACATTGATAGTGTATGATTATTCAATTATGGATTGTTATATCATAAAAAAAATTAATTTTCAATGATTAATATAAAAATTTATTTATCATATATTCTAATTAATTAATAATGTTAAATTTTTATATTGACAATGCATCAAAATTAAATCATTTATTTATTTTTGTTATTTTAGTTTTATATAAAGTTAATTTTATTTATTTAACAAGAATGGTAACAAACACTGGAAATACTAATGCATTATCATAAAAAGTTTGAAATGATTCTCAATTAATTTTAAGATATTATGACTTACTATTAAAATCAAATTTAAATATTTAATAAAAATAAAATTTTAATAATGGCATAAATTTTTATTATATTTTTATATATCTTTAATATAATAAATATTTTTCAATAAAAAAATATTGAATTTAAATACTTAAACTTAACTTTTGAAAGTAACAAAACCAGGATTTATTACCTTTGTTTTTATACTTCAATTAAAAAAATTTAGTTGACTCACTGGTTTGACTTTTGTGTCTCATAATAATTGTATGGTTTGATTGAGTTGAAATATAGATACCATTTAACTAACGCGTTAGAATGAAATAGGATAGCATATATAAGTTTTATTATATTAAAAAAACGTAATATAAGATTAAAAGAATTTAAGATTAGTGTGAATGGTAGATTTGAGTTCAAATAAAATGAAAATATTATATTGAAAAACTAAAAACAAAATTGTAATTGACAAAGGATTTAGGCACGTGGTAATGCACACAAATGATAAGCAGTGGAACAGGAGAGGCAGGTAAGGTTACTATTGGGTCATGGTAGCTGGTGCATGGTGGTGACCCGTGAGGTGAGTCCTGGCCTCTGTCAATGACTGCAACTCATAAAATTAACCAACAGTAATACAAATAAAACATAGTTACTATCTATAAATAAAAATGGGCACATATATATATATATATATATAGAATTGGCATAAGATTAAGATTGACATTTAACTACTTTACACTCAATCTTTGTCTGTGCTGTGGATTCTTTTCTTTTGTGCCCACCTTCACATGTGACTCGTTCTTCCACTTCCCACGCTTCCCACTTAATCTTTGGTTTTCTTTTTTCTTACTTTCCTATCTTCGAGGTGTCTACCTTTTGGCCCTTCAGACTTTGCATTGCCGTAGCCGTGTGCGTTGTGGAAAGGAAAACACTAATTCTACGCTTATCCAAGTAAACTCCGCACATGGGAGCTGTTTCATTTCGTTTTAGTGCAATTCTTTTCTATAACTTTTCATGCATGAGGTCAAAAATCATTTCAAGATACGATTCTTAATATTTTCGAAGCCCTTTTAAAAGTATATTTAATTTCAGTGTTTAGAATATGTGATATGAATCTGCCAAGGAAAAAGATTATTAATTTGAATATTATTTCAACTAAATATGTGATATTTATCATTTCTATAACACACACACACACTAAAACCTTGTGATAAAAATGACAAATAATTACAAAACTAGTGATTGAATTAGCAAATTTGCTGTAGTTGTTTCATCGTGCCATCTTTTACCCACACATAATATTGTGCTACTTTATTATTATTATTATTATTTATTTCTCATAGCATTCCAATTGTAAAGATATTCTTCATAGGACATGAATCTAGACGAATACAAATTTTACAAACGATATTTCCAATGCTTTTTTTCTTCATTAAAAAATATAACTTATTCATCAATACACTCAATCATTTATTTTAACTGTAAAATGAACAATCAAGTAATGTACCAAAAAAAGGTAATAAACCTAAAACATAAGAGAATTAATTTGGCTTATGTAATGTTTTGTTTGCTATCCCAAATTCTTCTTCTAGTTTATAAACCATATCTTGGCTTAAACGCCTTTTCAAAATCCAAGGCTTCTTTATTCCTTTTGCTAAGCACGAAATCACTTCTTAAATCCAAGCGCTACGTTTATCCAAATAAAACGAAAAAGAATTCAATTGAATCATTCAAAATTAATATCACGTGTAATATTTATTATTATTATCATTCTTCTATGTACATTCTTTTTTTTAAAGCACTTAAAAATGTCTATTTTTAGTAGTACATTAAACATTTTGTAATTAAAAATGTCTTTATAAGCCAGCATTCTTAGAATATTTCTCAAATATAATAAATAAATAATTTTATTAAAAATCCCAATAAAAATACATTAAATTTACAAAAATAATACAGTATTACACTTTTTATTAGAAAAAATCTTTACTCCCCTTAATCTGTGGTCTATCTAAATTAAAATGGTGCCTTTTCGTTCAAGTGAAGTGTACAATTGCTGAAAGGCATGCGTGCTGCCTGCAGATATTACAAAATGGAAATGATAAGATTACTTACGTCTTTCAGTTACAAGACGGCATAGTGGGGGCTGTAATTAATGCATTGCATGTTCGGATTTACGTTATGTAATTGTGTAACGCACTTTCTGTCAAATTGGATCTACGTTCAAATAAACTAAACATAAATCCAAACACTATGCAATATAAGCACCACGTTAGACTTAATTTATGTTGCTCCGTTTTTAGAATTTGCTTGCAATGTTATTGCAATTGTAAACAATGTACTATCACCAGTTCCCATGATTCTCATGCTAATGATATTTATTTATAATCCGCAACTGTACTTGCTAGAGCTAGTATTACGTTTTGGGATTGGTTTGCATTAGTTCCGTTATTTATATTCTACTACTAGTATACAATCAATTCAAATCACATTTGCAAACAAAATCTCAAAGAAGCTCCACTTACTAATATTAGTAATTTATTACTGCAAAATAACAGCAACTCCCAGCCATAGCTAGACCTCATAGTTTATAGGGTGCCCAAAAATTCTTCATTCAGGCCTGAATTTTTCCCAAAACTCGGCCCCAAATTTCACTAAGTAGCCAAACTTGGCATTTGCATACCGTTGCAAATGGGAAGGAGCTAGGGTATACATGATCCAGTTTTTACACGTCATGTTAAGAGTTTAATTTGAGTAATTTACACTGAAAACCATAAATATATTTTTAAAGTAATTATTACAAGAAAAAAATAATTCTCAATAATGTAACAATTTATTACTTATATTTTGAAGAATTAATGTCTCCTAATGAAAATTTATTGAGAAAGAATTCGAAGAGT